TTCAAAATAGGTGTTGATGATTTTCTGTATTTCTATAGGGTCTGTAGTGATTTCTCCTCTTTCATTCCTTATTGCATGAATTTGAGCTTTTTCTTCCCTTTTTTAAATAAGGTTGACTAGGGGCTTATCAATTTTATTTATTCTTTCAAAGAACCAACTCTTTGACTCATTGATTTTTTGGATTTTTTTTTAGTCTCTATTGCATTGATTTCTGCTCTGATTTTTATAATTTCTTTTCTTCTTTTGGCTTTGGGCTTGACTTGCTCTTCTTTTTCTAGATGTTTGAGGTGTAACATCAGGTTATTTATTTGTATTCGTTCTGTTTTCCTGATGTGTGAACTCAGTGCTATAAATTTTCCTCTGAGGACAGCTTTCATTGCATCCCACAGATTCTGGTAAGTTGTATTTGTGTTTTCATTTTCCTGTAGGTAGTGTTTAATTTCTTCTTTGATTTCCTCTGTGACCCACTGATTACTCAAGAGTGTGTTATTCAGTTTCCATGTCTTTGTGGGAATTTTGTAGTATCTTTTATCATTAATTTCTAATTTCAGAGCGCTATGATCCGATAGCATGCAAGGGATGATTTCAACCCTTTTGCATTTATTTAGATATGTTTTGTGAATTAATATATGGTCTATTTTAGAAAATGACCCACGTACTGCTGAGAAGAATGCATATTCTTTTGTTGTTGGGTGGAATACTCTGTATATGTCTATTAAGTCCATTTGTTCACAAGTGCAATTCACTTCTTTTATTTCTTTGCTGATTTTCTGTTTGGTTGATCTGTCCATTGGTGTCAATGGTGTGTTAAGATCTCCTGTTAGAATTGTGTTACTGCTGATTTGGTTTTTCATTTCTGTTAGTACTTGTTTTATATAACTCGGTGCTCTGGAATTTGGTGCATATATATTTAAGATAGTTATCTCTTCCTCTTGGAGTTTTCCCCTAACCAGTATGTAGCAACCTTCTTTATCCCTTCTGATCATTATTGGCTTGAAGTTCACATTGTCTGCAAACAGAAGAGCCACCCTGCTTTTTTGGGGGTTCCTGTTGCATGAAGTATTGTTTTCCATCCCTTGACTTTCAGTCTGTGGGTATCCTTTTGGGTTAGATGGGTTTCTTGTAGATAGCATATGGTTGGATTTTGTTTCTTGATCCATTCTGCCAGTCTGTTTCTTTTAATTGGTGCATTGAGACCATTTACATTAATGGTTATAACTGTTATATATTGGTTTAGTGTTGACATGTTATCTTTCTGCTGTTGCATCTTTGTCTTTCGGTTCTGTTTAATTGTCTGCTTTGTTTGGTGGTTTTTGGCTAGATGCCTCTAGGCTGTCTTTCAGTATTCTTTGCAGGGTTGGCTTGGTGATCATGTAGTTTTTCAGCTGTTCTTTGTCATGGAAGTATCTTATTTCTCCATCCATTTTGAAGGACAGTTTTGCAGGATACATCAGCCTAGGTTGGAAATCAGTTTCCTTTAGGATCTGAAATACTTCACTCCATGCTCTTCTTGACTTTATTGCTTGTGCTGAGAAGTCTGCTGTGATTCTGATAGGTTTTCTTTTATAGGTGATTTGTCTTTTCTCTCTTACAGCTTTTAATATTCTATTCTTCTGTTTGATTTCTGGGATGGCCATTACTATGTGTCTGGCTGTAGTTTTATTTTGGTTATGGCTATTTGGAGTTCTATATGCTTCACTGATCTTAGTATCGGTTTCCAGTCTCATGTTTGGGAAATTTTCAGCGGTTACTTCTCTAAATATCCTCTTGACATCCTTCATGTTGTTCCCTTTTTTTTCATTTACCCCTATTAACCTTATGTTGTTCCTTTTTGCGTCATCTTGCAGGTGTTGAACTGTTATTTCCTGATTTCTTGTTATTTTTAAAAGATCTTTCCTTTCCTGTTCACTGGCTGCAATCTTGTCTTCAAGGTCTGAAATTCTATCTTCACATTCATTGAGGCAGTTTTTACAACTTTCGATGGAGTTTTTTATTTCCTGTATTTCTCTTTGCATCTGCTTTATATATTCTGTTTGTTTCTTATATTGTTCATCCAGGGATTCTATCTTTTTGTTTATCTCCTCAAGTTTTTTAACTGTGTCTTCTTTAGATATATTCAGCATCTCCTTCATTTCTTTTATCATTTCTTCTTTTACCTGAGAGATTATTTCTAGTTTGATTTCCTTTAAGGCTTCCCAGATTTGCTTCTTTATTTCAGTTACTATTATTTCAGGTATTTCAGGTATGTGGCATATATTTTCTTCTATGCACATGGCTCCTAGGCTTTCCTGGGATGGGCTGGATGTTTGAGATTGCATTTTGGTCTTTCATTTTGTAATTTTCCTATATTTTTGCGCTTCAAGTTTTGTTCCAAGTGAGGTAGAGAAGTCAGCCAGGCTGGGACAGAGGTCCCTGCTCCCTCCTTACTCACTGATTTCGACAGGCAGTAGGATCCTGGGCCCCAGGCAGAGAAAACAGTTCGCTGGCCTTGGGTGGGGTTCCCTGCCTCCACTGGTCTTACTGGACCAACAGGGAGCCGGAGGAACCTGGCCTGCAGGCAAACAGGAGAGTTCCACACCTCCGCTAGACTTACGCGACCCACAGGCCAGTATATCAAGAATTAAAACCCATATTACTTGCTCTGCTTAGATAGATTTTATTCTGTCCCAGCTTGTCTACTTGCAATAGATTTGAGGGCACAGACAGCTATCCCCAAAACATCAGGATATAGCACAGTAACCATCTTTAACTTCCTATTATCTTAATCTGAGCCCTGTATGATTTATACTGTTTTATCATGACTGATCTTAGTTAAATTTGGTTTGTTTGATTGCTGTTTGGTATTGACAGATTTTATTCAAAACTGTTATGATTGATAGTATCAAGCCTGAGAGTATAGGCAACTACACTAAAGACGACAAGACTCACTACAATACCCATTCTGGTTTGATTATTACCTGTTTTGACACTATTTATAAAGTTGCATTTTTATTAATACTGTTATTTACTGATATTTTCAATTATATTATGTCTGATGATGTAGCCAATTCTATTGAAGATCACAAGAGACAACATAGTAACCATGATAGAACTCCTTGTACAGAGATTTTATATGTCTTTTTCATTTCATGTGTTTATAGGAATATGTTTTGTTTGGTCTTGTTTTGTTTTGTTTCTCCCTTTAATATAAAAAAGATAGAAATACATGTTAAGACTCATGCATGCATAGAACCTATAAACAGTTTATGAGAACTGGTATTATGACACATGATGAAATGAACAAATACTTTGAAGAAAAAGAGACACTACAGTACCCAGTGCTGATCCTGGAGTGTCATGATATGAAACCCAGCAATACTATTATTCTTTGTTCAGAGTGATTTTAGCCTGCTTGGGTTTATTCAATCTCAACATTAGTGAAGATATGAATAAATGTGTGTATGTTTAAGTGTATAGGATTGATAACCATATTATTAAGTTTTTGTTAAATAGTTGAATAGTTAAATAGTTTGCAGTCTCGCTGTTTGAATTCCCACTTTATATCTTCCACTTTTGTATATTGAATAACTATTTGTAAGAGGACAATATGTAAACATCAACTAGTGATTTCTTACTGTTTATTTTTTCTTTGAAAGTATGTATTATTTCTACCCATTTTCTGTTTTTTTAGTCTTTCTTTAAATAAAATAAAAAAAGAAAATCAATTTGAACATAAAAAACTGTGAAACAAAATAAAATTTCTTTCTTTATGAGTTTGTTATCTCAGGCCATGTGTAATAGTGACAGAAGGCTGACTAAAGTACCAATATTCATCAGACACTCATCCTATAATTTCTCTATTCTCTTTCCGTGGATACACAACACCATCTACCTGAACCCCTTGCTGCTATTTCTCCTGACAAGCTGGGTTTTCTAGTTTCACTTTAAAAAAAAAAACCAATAAGATACTAGCTTCTTGTGGGAACCCCAACCTTACCTATCTCTCCCTGAGCCACACAGAGAAGCTTTAGATACAAAGTAACATAGTAAATCACCCAGTGGAACTATGACACTTTTTGTTTTGTTTTGCTTTGCCCAAGGTGCTGGAGATGGAACCAAGGACCTCACCCATTCTAGGCTAACATCTACTACCAAGCCATACCCCTGCAAGCCATGACAAATTGTTAACACACCAAGACCCCCAGTTCTATCAAGCACCCACTAGCTGGCTGGGCTGCAGCCTGTGGTCTGACTTGCTCAGCTCATGCCTTTCTCTCCTTGACTCTTGCTCAGCCCAACTGCCCCACCTTTCAGCCCCTCAAGAGCATCAGCTTCTTCTCAGGGTTTGTTACCCTGATCCTAACTCCAGAAATCAGTTCCTTGGGGTCTTTAGCTACCAACTCACTCTGAAGCCTAAACGAGAACCCTTGAGCTCTTAAGTTCTCCTCACTGTGCCAAGATAATCAGTTCTCAGTCCAGACATTGGGGTTGTCTAGGGACATTTAAAAATTTTAATACCTGGGTCTAATCTCCAGAAATTCTGATTTAATTTACCCAGGGGAATAAGCTTGCCATTGAATTTTTTGAAAGCTCTTGGGTGATTAAAAATTGCATGAAATTTTAGAACCACCGCTCTAGATCTAACTTTCATGTCTTATTCCTTACTTGCACTTTGCAGACCATAATGGTGACTGCCAACCATGAAGGCAGAATCTGTATCTGCTTTGTTTATCCCGAAGTATCTGATGGATAGGAAGACAAATCAGTGAGGAAGCCTGGGGCAGGAGAACCTCAAAGTCAAGCCTAGCCTGGGCAACTTAGTGACCTAGCAAAACTTTGTCTACACACACACACACACACACACACACACACACACACACAATGTGAATTAAATATTTAAAATGTTGAAAGAAAAAACCCTCGCCAACCTAGGATCCTGTTAGTACTGAAATAATCCTTCCACAGTGAAAAAGAAATACTTTCTTATTTGAAGAATTTGTTGTAAGAAACATTGGAGGACACTCTTCAGAGACAGGACAGAACACGGATCTGTGTAAAGCAAGGAGGAGCATTAGCATGAATAAATAAAGACGGATAAATCCTTTTACTTTCACTCTTAATTGATTTAACAGATAAGCATTTATTCAACATAGCAACACGAGCGATGCAGCAGCACCTTGCGGACGTGGGGAAGCACAGCGGAGGAGCGGGCCGCAGCGGGCCGCAGCGGAGGGAGAGCGGGAGCCGCAGGAAACGCTGCCAGTGTGCCCGCAGGCGCCACGCAGCTGCTCCACAGATGCGTTTCACACAAGTCTATTTACATGGTAATGAAGCACAGAAAATAGAATCCCATAAGATTTCCAATTAAAACCAGAAAAGGCAGAAAAGACAGGATACAAATATTATTGAGGTGAATCCAACTCTACCAGTAGTCACTGCAAATGAGATTGATCTATACCACTGAGAAGACAGAGGACATCACAGTGTATAAAATAAACCAAAGCAAGAAGCAAAGTGTGGTCCAACTCAAAAGAAAGCTAGGAAAACATATCAAAAGAGAGATGCTGGAAAGTGGAATGACACTCTTAGCCAGGCCAAGGGAGGCAGAGGAGGGGGAGGAAGTGACAGAGTGGGTGCTGTGCACCTGTGGATACCAGCACAAAGCCTGGTACACTGTGCAATGAACACACTCCAACTGAAAAAGAATGCAGTGTCCAGACAAAGATATCCAAAGTAAAGGGATGGACACGATACTCATCGACAGAAAGCAGGAGTGCGGGGTTTCCGGCAGGGAACTCTGGGATGGAGCTGCGTTACAGGGCTGGAAAGGTGACCTTTCTGGGGTGACAAGGACATGCCCCCCAAGAACACAATGCAGTCATCACCAGGCATGTGGCTAACAACACAACCCTGAAATAACTGAGGCAAAAGTTGCTAAGGCAATGAGGAGAGAGACAAGGCCCCGATACAGCAGTAGACCTCGCCTCCCACACCAGCGAGGGGGCAGCGTCCCCTGGCAGGGTCTCAGGAGAGAGCAGGCACCTTCCTCCGGCAACCATCGCACTCAGTTCTTCCCAGAGCACAGGCCTTACCTCATAGCAGACCACCATCAAACACGCGATAGCAAATTCAAACAGAAATCAGAGCACTGCGTGTTCTCAGGCCACAAGGGAACTAACAAGAAATCGGTAACAGAAAGCAATCTGGAAAACTGTGGAATATCTGGAGATTAAACAACATAGTTCCAAGTAATATATAAGTCAAAGACGTCTCAAGAGGCATTTTAAAATATTTTGAACTAAATGAAGATGAAAATGCACCAAGATTGTGTGATGGAGGGAAAGTAGTTCTGAGAGAACTGACTCCGGTGCCAGGCACGGGATTTGCTCAGTCATCTTGGTAAAGAGACAAAAACCCATGCATCCAAATGTTTGTATCTTCAAGTAACAAAGTTATTGTGCTGAATTACAGCTCTGGCACATTGACATACACCACACCATCACCAATGGAACCGATGTCAGGTACTTTACATTCCTTAAATATCCTATGCTAATCTCAGACAATGTTCTGATGGCAGGAGTGGGGTTCTCTACATGTTTTATAGATGAGCAAATTTAAGCTCTTTGAAATTATTTTCTCACCTTAGCCTACAAAGATAATAAATGGCCGAGATTTGACTTTTATTACTCACTAGCTTACATAGATCTAAAAGCTCAGTATTGCCATTGAAGCAGGTCTTAGCAATTCATAAGCAGCAGAAGTTTCTGTCATGCAGGCTCCTGTGCAGCCCCCCACCCCCAGCCACACTCTTGCTGGTCTGACTTTCATCAGTCTCCATCAGTCCTGCCTGTGCTCATTAAGTGGATTCCTGCTGCACGCGTGTGGCTGTGTGACCTCTGTCACTCAGTGTAGGCTGTCTAGATCCACCCGCATTTCGCATGCAGCACCAACACCTCCTCTCACTGTTGGGCAGCTTCCTGGGGTGCAGGACCTGCTCAGGCACGCTTCCTCCTGCAGAAGGTTGTGTGGGCTGTGTCCAGTTTGACTATTTTGCATAAAGCTACCAAGATTATTCTTCTACAAGTGTATATTAGCCAGTGTATGGTTTTGGTTTTTTGTTGGATAAACATATAGGAGAGGACTTACTGGGTTACAGGAGACATATGAGTTTAAATTTTAAAAAACAGCCAAAATATTTTCTACCCTGATTACACCTACTGAAGTCCCTTTTAATTTTCTGAAGAACTCCGTAACCCACTAGGCAGTCAAACATCTCAGGTTTCCAGAGACACCCACACCAGTGAGTACCACACCCCATGTGCACAGGAAGCCCTGGGCTGCCCTCTCCATACCCAGCCTGCCTTGCGCTTGGCAGAGGAGAAAGCAGGTCTGTGTGCACACCTGTCCCAAGCAGAGCGCAGGCCTCCAGCCAGCTCGGCTTCTGTTCTCGCCCTGCGTGCTCCACAGGGGGAGCTGGAGGCCCACACTCCCAGGAGGACACTGGCTCTGTCCCAGGCTGAGTGCCCTGGCCGCACTTTTCTGCTGATAGGGACCAGCAAGTGCCTGTGGCTATTTCAGACTTTCGGAGAGGAACAGGGCTGTCCCAGAAAGAAGCAGACCCCTGGCCCTCGGGAAGCCCCTCTTCTAGACACATCCCTGGGGCCCTTAAGGGCACACTTCCCACTAAGATTAAAAGGCTCTGCTGCTGGGACCTTAGCCTAAAGCTCAGAGCCTTCTGCAGCTACCAAATTTAGTCAGGGGGTGGCGCAGCACCTTCCGGCCTCTCCCTCCTCAGGCCTTTGGATGTCTCCATGTGTTTGGGCATCCACCCTTCTCTGAGAGACAGGTGATATCCATAGCGGTGGCTCTGGATGTCAAGGACACGTCAGCCACGTGGACAGCCATGGGCGTGAGCTCTGCATTACATGTGTTCAGCCCAGGGGCCCTGGCTCTGTCCTGCTCTGGCCGCCCAGGGCTCCTCAGCCCCCAGCAGCCCAAAGTCATTCTGGAGGAAGGGCTGAGATTTCCAAGGGCAAGGAAGTCCTCAGGACCAGAGAAGGCAGGAACATTCTAGAACATTCTCCATGCAGAAACAGCCCTCAGGATGCTCAGGAGCACCTGTCACTCTCACAGGATCCTGCACCTGGGCCAGGGCTTCTCAGCCCTCTTGCAACTGGACCCAGGGTCCATACTCCAGAATGAGAATCCGAGCTGCTACAGATGGCAGGAGTGGGGTTCTCTGCATGTTGTGGTTGCATCTCCAGCTGGTGAGGACCTGGTGGTTAGAGTACTCTGCAGCACTCTGAGGCTGTGGCTCTGCCCGAGGAGCCTCAGGTGTGGGTTCCCACAGCTCTGCCTGGCTCACTCTGGCTGCCACAAGGGAAAGGCTGTGGCCTCTGTCACCCAGATGGAAGCCAAAGCTCTCAGACCTTTCATGGCTCTGACTCATGCGCTGGACACTTTTGTGACAAGGCTCACCTTGAAAACAGGCCACACCATGCCTTGGCAGCCACCTTCAGAAGAGTCTACACCCAGGACAAACGTGGAACCTGACAAGGCATTTGCCTCACCCTCTTGTGCTTGACCTTAATGGATCAGAAAAGAGCCAGGTGCCTGTTGTTTTGATAGAGGTCTTGTCGCTTGCTATTTAGGGAGCGTGCGGAAGGCTCTCTTGGCTCCTTGCAGACCCTGGAATTCTGTTTGCAACAGGTTTTCAGCGCCGCGGCTCTGAGTCATCCGCCTGGTGATGGGAGCTGGGCTCCAGCACCCTACGCCCCGAGATAAGAAGGCCTGCCAGCCCCAGGAGGCCGATAACTGCCCAGGAACATCCCAACTGGGGCACTTCTGATTAAACTTGGCATCCGTGCTGTCCTCTCTTGTCCCTTCTAAACTTAGCCCTGCTGTGCCACCAGCTGTGCCCTGGCCGAGCCTCTGGGTCTGAGCGAGCCCAGCCCTGACAGCCCCTCCCCACCACCTCGTGTGGGTTTGCCACGACTGAGACCGCAGTTGAAACCTGCCACTCCACTTTCCCTTTGGAACAGACTGAGCCTTTTAAAAGTCAACAAAGTGCAAAATAAATCAGGAGGTATATTCCAGGATTTTGTGCTACAATGTTTCTGTCCCAGAATTAGATACCTAAGCCAGTAGAAGGTCACAGTGGCTCAATTTCCCATCCATAGAAAGGAGACAGCAGCTTCCTGAAAGCAGTGTAACCGTCACATTCCAAAAGGGCAGAAAACCCTGGGAATAAGTCGCGCGTGGAACTCTGAGGTCAGCTCCCAACTATGATTCCTGTCCCTGCTTTCTCTGAAAGCCAGACTCCAAGGTCAGCTCACCTCGCTTCAACTTCAGAGCTAGAGAGCACATTAGCAGAGACCCAGAACACAGCCTTGAGCGACCGCGGATGGAGGGACAAGACGATGCCTGCAAACGTGATGGAGCCCCGCAGAGCCAGTGCAGAAAAACTCAGATATGTGGGCTGCAGGGTGTCCTGACAACAGGGCCTCCCCAGCGCCACAGAAGGCCGAGCAGAGGACACTCACTGGGATGCCGTGGGAGGCTGCAGAGCCCAGCGACAGCGAGGACACAGGGCGCAGGGGTGAAAGGCCGTGGAGAAGAGGTGTTTCGTGGAGCATGGAGACCACGGTGCCCAGACTCGGGGAAATTGGGGCCCACAGACCCGGGGTCTTTCCCAGAGGACACTAGGAGGCCGCGTCCCATCCCCCAAAAGTGGGGCAGGAGAGGCCGGAAGGCGAAGGCACATGGGGAGCGAGGCGCTCACCAGCTGTAGAAGAGCCTGGGCCTGCCACGAAGGGAGTGATGGGGAAGAAGGACACGGGGTCACGAAGGCGACCCTGCCCAGCAGCGCTCTTGTCCCTTTCGCCCCCACAGCCTGGGCACAAGGAGGCACAGAGAGGCCCTGGCTGGCGGCGACCTCTCAGGCCACACGTGGTAAGAGGTGGTAAGAATCACTGGTTCCCACGCACAGGGCTCCAGGCCTTGGAAAGAAAGAGTGAGCAACACAATCAGGTATTTAAATCCCACGTGTGTGTGGAGCCAGATTTGTGAAGAGACCCAACCGATAACTGTGGGAAATGCGGGTATGAGCCTGAGGCTGGGAAGAGGGCGGGCAGTAGGACCCCAGGCCCCCGGGAAGGGGGAAGGTGGTTGGAACTGAGGCCCCCATATCCTCATCCCGAAGGCCCGCAGTGGCCTCCGCAATACACGTGCAGCAGCGAGACATGCGAGCAAATCTGCTGTCAGGCATGTGTCTCCTCAGGCTGGGTCAGCTTGGGCCACACAGGACGGGAGCGGCTGCTTCTTCCTGGGCAGGGCTGTATTGTCAGCAAAGGGGCGACATCTCTCTCTTACCACTTCCTGCTGGACAGGGGTGTCTTGTTGGGGTCTAGGGGGCTGATGGGATGACAGTTGATGCCCATGTAGAAGCTGGTAGAGGCGTTTCAGTCAGGACAGGAATTACTCATTGTGAACAATTGCATCCTATAGAAGAAATAAAAACACGAGGTGCTGAGGAAGAAGGCCACCATCGTAATTAAAGGACCCAGGAGAGGTAGGAGGAAAATTACCCTTGATCCAAATGTGTCGTTCCGTCAGGGCCATGGAGAGGAAGAGTCTGAAAAATGAGCATGGAGTTGAGAGGGGTGGAGTTACGAGAGGTAATTATTTCCCCATGGAAAGGGTAAAAGCGTAGGCAGGGTTGAGCTGGAGAGAATGGGAAGCATGAGAAAGGTAAGGCCTGACAGGTGAATCGCGTTTGGTAAATTATAGAGTAGGGGTGGGAAGGGCTGTGGTTATATCTCCATAAGTGAAGTGAGATCTTAGACCTATGGGACTCTCATGTTTAATTAAACAGCTAAGGGTGGAGAGAACTAAAATAGTTATAGTGAAAAAATTAACTAATAGAATGTAAGGGATTAGGAACCAAATAGGATAACAAAACATGACCTAACCTGAAAATTGTGACTGCGGGGCCTTGGTGAGATGGAGACAGGAGACAGATGAGATGACCTCTCAGAATGTTTAGAGTCAGGGGGGTTAGGGTTAGGAGGGCACCGCTTAGCTTGAGTGATGTGGAACCAGGATGGCAGTCTAGCGACCTTGACCACCATTGAAGTTCTAAGGAAGACCAGGTAGGGCCCACTCCATTTTAGCTGTAGTCCTGTTAAGAGATCTGAGGAATAGAGGCTGGACCATTATCTGACTGAATACTCTGAGGTAAACCAAACCTTGGATGATTTTTTTAAAAGGACTTTAGTAACTGTATCAGCAGTTTCCCTGGTTGTGGGAAAGGCTTTTATCTCTCCTGAAAAAGTACAAACAAAGGTAAGAAGATATTTGAAAGTTCTGTGGTAGGACATGTGTGTAAAATTTGTCAGTCCTGACCAGGCATATGTCTGCAAAATTGATGAGTAGGAAAGGAAGAGGGTGGTGTGAGTCCCTGAGGAAAGGTTCTAATACAGAGATGACGGGTGTGAGTTGTTGAGACCTCAGAGTGTCTGGGTCAGTCTACACAAACATAAAGGAATCCTGACAATCTGGTATAGGTAATGGATTAAAAAAAAAGCATCTTTAAGGTCTAGGACTATGAAGTGAGTGGTGGAAGGAGGGATATGAGAGAATATAGTACAAAGATTTGGCACCAGTGGGTAAATTGGGGTAACAGCATCATTGATTACCCTACGGTCTTGTATCAGATTATAGGATCCGTTAGGCTTGAGTACTAGGAGAATGGCAGTACCATAGGGTGAATGGGTAGGCTTAAGAAAACTGTTGTCTAAAAGATGCTTGATTATAGGGTTAAGTCCCCATAAGTGTTTGGGAGCTATGGGATATTGGGAAATACAAGGAAAAATTGAAGGATCCCTAAGATGAATTAAAATAGGTAGCATGGGTGTGGCTGGAGGTATCTCAGACCATGGGATGGATCAGAGAAGAAGGGAGGGGAGGAGATGGCTTTGTGGTGCACTGTGAGGGTGTCTGAAGGATGAGAGCTGAGGGGAAGGAGAAGGTAAAGGGGAAGTTAAGCTTTTGGAGAAGACCTCTGCCTAAAAGGGCTGTGGGACATGTTGGAATTGCTAGGAAGCTACGGGTAATGAAGAGAGTCTGAGACCTGTGTGGAACAGGCCCTGTCTGCAGAGGCTGTATAGGTTGGCCTTCAACATCCACTACAGAGAACTTAATACAATGGCCTGAAAACTCAGAAAAAATACTATATATAGCCTCTATGTCCACAAATACAGAGAATGTCTTACCTGAGACCTCCAGTGGGACTTGGGGCTCTGAGAAGGATCCCTTAATGGGGGCAGTGGGACCCGAGCCCCATTAATCTTAAGCAACAAGTCCAAATAAATAGATCAGCCAGTGATGAATCCAGTGGTGATGAGATCTCCTGTGAGGGCAAGGAGTAAGAAGATGGCTTACCCACTCTGTGGCGGCTGGGACAGTCGCTTTACCAATGGCCCTTGAGATTGCAGAAGGGGCATTCTCTTGCCCAGCATCCTTTTGGTCTCAGCTGAAGCATGGTCTGGGAGGGGCTCGGGCAGCTCCACCTTATCTTAGTTTATGCACCAAAAATGTTAGAGTTACCTGCCACAATAGAGAAGCAAAAAGTATAAAATGAAAAGAACAGGTTTATTGCATAGAGGATGTGGAAAGGAGCATACAACCCATGGTGGCTGGGCTGTCTCCTTTGACCAAACACAGAGAGGCAGAGGCCTACATGACCTCTGAACAGAAGTGGCTCATAGGGTGGATATTGGTGACCTGTGAGGAACTGATTGGAATTCTCTATGCATGCAAACAGGAAAGGGGAGTTGCAATTAGGGCTGAAGAAGGAGAAAGTGGTAAGCGTTACCACTTTGGCCTTCTGCCACATTAGACCACCGCCATAACTGCACATAATTTATAGGAAGGCGGGAATCTTTCAAGGGGGACAGAGGCAATTTACAGAGCCACCCAGCAGAGACTGAAGAAAGCCGTCAGCAAGCGGGGAAATCATGGGGAACAGTGAGAGGCAGGTGAGAGGGGCTGAGAAACGCAGAGGCCTTACCTGTTGCCTTCCGACTATGGGTGAAACCTGGAAGTTTAAAATCATACAGGCAGGCATTCCTGCATTCTTAAATGAAGAACGTAAGACTCACACACAAATAACCACAGCTTTTGCAAAGTAAATTCCATTCACTTGTAAAGTACAACAGGGTACAATTTGGGGCTGGCGACCTTACCTGCAGGGAGAGTGAGTAAAACTACACTGCATTTGCTGTGTGCCTGTGCCAGGTACCAGCCCTAGGGGATGGGAAAGATCCGGGTAACAGAGGAGGTGCCTTCCCTGTGTACCCTGTACCACATCCCAGAGGCCAGGGCAGTTCTGACCTTGGCCTTTGGAAGTTTGCAGGATGCCGTGATGCCATGGGGGTTTTCAGAGGAAGAAAGACCTTTTCCAGGGTGTCTTCTGCTGTTGGCTCTTGGGGTGCAGCACCAGGGCGCCCCATCTCACACCTTTCTGTCCACCGCCTTCCACTTCCTCTCCAAGAAAACAACTTACATCTTCTAGAGCAAGAGCTGCAGAGCAGGCAGCAGAAAGGGTGCCATCCTAAGGGGTTGAAGAGTGTAATAAACTGATTTATTTGTACAAACCCCACACATGCACATACATCCAGGACTATGTGCAGCTGATAACACACCCCACCCCACATGGCTCAGGCTGCACCTGCACAGCTATGGTGAGCTCAGTGCCCTTGCCTGGTGCTGCCTGCCTCTACAGGATCATGGGGCCACCATGGCTGCCACCTTCGCTGGGTGATTTTGGGAACCCACTCAGTGCCCAAAACCCAATGTGGGATTTGGCCACACCCAGTGTGGGATAAGGATGGCCCCTGCCTCAGGGAGGCTAACAGCCCACATGCCTGGGCCTGGAGGGAAATTAACCTCACTGAAGGGTCAGGGGAATCATGGGAAGTTAGCACCACAGTGATTAAGACAATCTGAACTGCCCCACTTTCACACATGACTGTGCACATTCATGGGCAGAGTGCTGTTTCCAGCCTGTGTGTGTGCCATGCCCTCTCAGCATGACCAGCATCTTCAGCTGACCTAAGTGTGCATCATTCCTTTGTGCAGTAGCTGAGGTTCATACACCCACTTTGCAGGATCCTCCTCCTGTCCTTACCCCACAGCTGCCCTTCCTACCGTCCTTCCTCCACTCTGTCATCGTGAGATCAGCTTTGTGTCCCCCACACAATGGAGACACCACATGATGACCGCCCTTCCACGCCTGCTTTATTTCATCACACAGCATCTTCCGGCAGGACAGGATCCACGCTTTCCTTATGGCCAAGTGACCTTCTACCAGAAATTCAAATTTAAAGCTAAACAATCATACTCCTTTTTAAAAAGTCCCTTGGATGATATTAAATCTACTGAACTCTGCAGGGTTCTTAGAGACTATTTCAAATATTTCTATTCCAATAAATTGTAAAATTTAGAAGAAATGAATCCATTTTCCACTAAAATTGAAGCAACAGGATATTTTTTAAAAAGCTAAATATATCATAACAATCAATGAGGTTGAAGCAGCAGTAAAGTCTCCCAATAAAGAAAAGTCTGGGACCAAACAGATTCACTCTTGAATTCCACCAATCTTTAAAAAGAGCTAAAACCAGTGCTCCCTACACTGTTACATAAAACAGAAAGGGAAGGAAGCCGTGAAACTCAGTCCCACAGCACAAGTATCACTCTGGTTCCCACTGGATAAAGATGTAACAAAAAGGGAAAACTACATCATCCTTGATGAAGATAGATGCAAAATTTCTCAACAGAAAATGCAAATTCAGTTCAGCAGGACACGAAAAGGATCAGACACCATGGTCAAATGGGCTTCATTCCAGGGATACAAGATTCGACACACACAGATCAGGAAACATAATGGACCACACAAAACAATCAAGGATAAGATATGATCTTTTCAATAGATGCTGGAAACCCTTTGACAAAATTCCACATCTATTCATGGTAAGAACCCTTGGGAACCGAGGGGTAGTGAGGACCTTAACGATGATGGCTGTGTATACAGCAGTAAAGGCCACAGCCAGCGTTACACTGCATGGGGAAGCATGCCTGTTCCTCCCCAAGTCAGGCACAGAGTGAGGCTGCCCATTCTCACCACTGCTGTTTAGTTCAGTGCTTGAAATTCTGGCCAGCATAGTTAGCCAGGAGAAAGAATAAAAGGATTCGAAGAAGTCCAGTGGTCTCTGCTTGCAGATGATGTGATCCTATGACCAGAACATCTGAAAGATGCAACCAGAAGACTTCTAGATTTAAGCTAAGCAAAATAGCACGATACAAAGCCAACATGCAAGAAACAGTAGCTCTGCTATCCACCTGTAACATGCCCACTGAAAAGAAGTCAGAAGAATAATTTCATTCATAATCGTTTTTAAAATAGTAAGTGATAGGCCTAACTAAGGAGATGAAAGATCTCTACAATGGCAATAATGGAACAAAGAGAAAAGAAATCTGAATAAGATAAGACTTCCACCTTCACAGATCGGCAGGATCGGAGTCCAGAAGGACCATCCCAGGCTCTCCTGAGAGCCAGGACAGGCACCCAGGGTATGCTGAGTGTCAACATCAGTGAGCTGCTAACCAAGAGCCCCATCGCCATCCATGGCTGCACCAACAGAAGGAGTTGGCATTGAGAGGCTAACTCAAGGCCACCGGAGACCTGGTCAGGTGACACGGTGACCCTACTTCTCACGGCTGTACACCCTGGGTTTTTCAGGAAAACAACAATCAGATGTTGGGGCAACTGGAGCTTCCAGGAGTTTGTGCAGGTGGGAGAAGAGGTCAGGAGTATCTGCAGCATTGGGGTTCACACCCCAGATGGAGGGCTCCGAAAGCAGAAGAGGGGACTGGTGTTAAAAAAAAGAGCTAAAGGGGCTCCAGAACCCACTCCAGTCCACAGCTGAGGGAACCTGAATAGAACTGAGTCCTTGGAGGAAAGCAGAATCTCGGCCTTCAGAAACTGGCTTCCCAACCCTGGGACAGCTTTGCTGCCGAGGCTCATGTTTCCAACAGAGAAACAAATTCTGGTGCTTTCCTCTTGCTCTGACCTTGCCATATCCTGGGGACCAGTGGGTACCTTTAGACCCCACAGAGGTCGCTCTTTGTCCTCATCTCTGAGGA